TCCTGTCTGAAAAGCATTACTCCTGTGTGCCTTTGCATTGTGGGATCAAATCCTGTCTTCCTTCTCAAAACCAAGCTGTCACTGTTTAAAATGGCATCCCCCGCTCCTTTCACCTTTAGCTGTAGGCTACAGTAGGCCATTTTAGCCCAAATATACATTGTAAATAGTCATTGTTGGAATTCAGTTTACAATAATCTTTTGATAGCCCAGAGGGCTTCATGTGCCCTGATCATGCAGAATGTTTAGAGTCAAGATAAGGGTCTGAGCTTATCATGAATAGTTTCTAGTAGCTTGAATTTGCATGTCTGAGCAGACCTGGAGATGGGTTCAAGTTGCTCAACTAGAGTGTCAATGCAGACAATTAGAAATATTGTGATCTCATTGTTACTGTGTGATTGACTGACATTTCTTTATCTGTTCTGTATGTGATGACCTCGGAATCTTATTGTAATCTCTGCATTCTGTCATCGATTGCCCTGTACCTGTGTACCTATAAATGCCCTGTAGTGGTATTGAAGCTTTGCAGTAGAGTTCATCTCTGCCTGCCCGGTAGTGCAGCCTGCATTATCGTGAGTGTACCGCGGGAACCTTGGGGTAAAACAATAAAGCCTCAGATGATCTGGACACTTGGTCTTTCCCACGAACTCGAGTTTTATTCCCTCTTCTCAAATTGAGATTCCAGGATTCTGACAAAAGCTAGATAGCACAAAATTTCCTGTTACACTTCAACGATGACTGTACTCACGGCAGAGGGAAAAAAGGCACCTGCTGCAGCAATCCCAAGCAAAAAAAGTCAGAATATTTGCACGTTCTTTGGGCCTTAACACAAAACGAGATAATTTTATTTAAAAGGTTCAGTGCAAACTTCCCCCAACTTGATTTTTTCCAGATGTGTTCCCAGCACTCCCCAGATTCGCTGGGTTACCACTCCTTCTATCTCCAACCAGCATGACCATTGGTCAGAAGAATGATGCCAACACTACTAGACTGGGAAAGGCTGAATCACAGGGTTTGCTTGTAATCCTTCCATGTTGTTCCACCGCTTTTCCAGGCTGCTTTTTCTTTACCACCAAAAATTTCTTAAGGAGGAAAAGATGAAATGGCTGCACAAAGCCCTCTGACTGGCAACTCCAAGCGGCTACTCGAGAGAAGCCTGAGGGCCTGTGGCTGCCTTGAACACATGTCGTTTTATTTATTTATCTTGGCAAATGCCTCTCCCACTTTTCTAAGGCGACTACCAATATAAAACAAAAACCAGTTTTAAATACAGTTGAAAACAGCACATTAAAAGCCAGATAAAACAAAAGCCAAATAAGGTTAAATGCAGACAAGATAGCATAAAATACTGGAATGGAATGTCTGCCAGATAAATAAGCTTTATGAAGGCAACAAAAACCAAAACCCAAAAAACCTTACAAAATGATCAGACGGATCCCCAGGAGAGAGACTCATAAGATCAAGTGCAGCCAAAAAAAAAAAAAAAGCCCCCCTCCAACATTCCTGTCAAACTTGCCTCTGCCAAAAGGCATACAAGAGAGTCTAAGGAGACAGTCTCCGGAAGGACCTTATAGGAGAGGGTGGTCCTTCAGTGCCCAAGAGACAGTGGAAGTTGTGTGTGTGTGTGTGTGATATGTTTGTGTGTGCACGCACAACGCACATAGGTTTTTTAAGTGGAAATTGGATTTATAACACTCCTGGCTCTGTGAGATTTCTGCACTCCTGCAAAGCAGTGCTAAGTCACTACAAAGCATGCTGTTCTCTCATAGTCCTGCTCTTTAATAGTTCTGATTTGCTTTCAACCCAGTCATTGTTTGCCCATTGTTTTCAGGCAGCGGCAAGGCAGGCCAGCAAGGGAATACATGGCCATGCAAGGATGGGAATGATGCTGACCACTGTGGTGGGACTGAGCCAGGAGGCCCCGTCCCTGAGCCAGGAACAGCAGCCCCTGCACAAAGGACCTTACAGGGTCTACCTAGCCCAGTGACCTCTGAACTGGTGAGCTCCAGGAAAGTTGGACTGCAGTGGCCATCATTCTCAGGCAGCATGCGACTGGATGCTAGGGAATGTCGAAGGCATGAGAAGAAAAGAAAGGCCAGATAAGAGATGGACTAACTCCACAATGGATAGGACATTCTGGAGGGCTTTCGTTCATAGGGTTGGCATAAGTCAGAGATGACTGGATGACACATAACAGCAACAACATACAACTGGAAGCAACTGTGCAAAAATAATACGCAGAGGTCTTCCCAGCACTCCTAGCCATAGTCCTTTTAAACTGAAAACGTTGAGGATTCTACCTGAGGTTCTGCCTACAGCATTTGTTCTCTGCTACTGAGACACACATGGCTTCTTCCCTGCCATGTTGTGACAAGCCTCCTTGACTGTGATTTGGGTTCAAATCAGAGAATGAATGCAGACTTCCACCCAGCCCCAGGCATTAGTTTCTTCAAGTCTTGAATATCTAAATCAAGGGTGGGGAACCTGCAGTGTTCCAGGTGTTGCTAAATGAGCCCCAGTCAACAGAGTCATGGGCGTCTTATTCCAGCAATGTTTGAAGGGACCCAGTCTCCTCACAGCTGATCGAAATAATTTATTCAAGGCAAGATGATGTTTATCTGAACTTAGTGTGTTTAGGTCCGAATTTCAGCTACAGCAACTAGATCAAGTTGGGCAGCTTGTGGCCTTCCAGATGTTTTGGCAACTCCTATCAACCCTGGCTAGCATAGCCAACAGTCAGAAATGATGGGACTTACAGGCCAAAATATTAATTTTCCCACTCCTGTTCTAGATGATGCGCTACCATCATGCAAAGTAAGTTGGTACTTGGTTTGAAGAAGATGCTTTTCTTCAGTGGAAACACTTCAAGGAATGAAGAAAGCGAAGCAATGAGAAGCACAGCATGAGGTCAGCCGTGTGGCTTCAGTGACAGCAGCTCTGAGCTGGCCCTTCCAGCCAGCTCTGCCTGAAGGCTGCAGCAGCTCATGAGAGAGAAATGCCTCCTCTGCCAAATCTATATCACTGGCAGCAGCTTTGGCAGCAGCCTCCCTTTAAATGAGCAAAGGATGCCACTCAGCTACAGGCTGCTGGATGGCCTGCATCATGCGATCCCAGTGGTCTTTCATGGGTCCCTGTTTCCCCAGCACAGCCTGTCCAACAAGCAGCCTGCTGCTGGGATGCATCTCATAAATGGAGATGAGGACAGCACAGTCCCAAATGACACGCTCTGGCAGGTGGAAGAGAAAAGTTTCATTGAACACCGTCATTGGTCCAAGGATCCTGGGTTTGGTTTTCTGATGCTTCTGCTTTTGAAGGTTGCAAAACATATTGATCCTTGCATATATACCTGAAACAGGAAGAACATCAGAAGAGCTTACATGAGTGCAAGGTATTGAACATCTGGAATTATTGTTCCAAGATGGCAACACTCTTCCTCAGAATTGGACAGAGGTTTCATAAGGACCTTGCACATGCTTGGTGAATGTTTACTGAAGTGTGGGAAGAAAGAATTTGACTAAGGAAGAAACACAAAGCGCACCTTTCTCTGTGCCTGTGACAGGGAGACCTATAAATACTAAGGATTCAAACACTGTAGGAGAGGCAATAGTGGGGAGAAACCCTGTGAAAGGATGTGTGAATACTTCACAGGGAAGCATTATGGTAAAGATGAGTCACATGTCCCAGGGCAAATGGGGTATGGGTGTTGATCTCAAACTCAGCTGCAAATAGGCAACAGCAGAATATGGGGCCCATAAGGAGGCTCCAGAGGTCTTTTGGGGATCTTGACCAAATGAGAGAAAAACACAGAATGCAACTCTTAGCTTTCCAATAAAACAAAAAGAAAGGCAAGTTTCTAGCTCTAGTGATTGTGGGGGAGAGCCTGAAAATGTCTTGGGGCTTCTTGTCAGGGAAGAAAGCTGGGTCTGCAGTTATCAGAAGGTAAGGTCTGAGGACCCTGTATCATATTTTCCCTATTATCTTCCCTGCTATTATTTATTGCAATTTCTCCTCCAATGTCAGCATCTGGATGCTATTATTCTTTGGCTGTTGCACTCAGTTTGTTCTTTTCAATGACATCATCATTCTGAACTGCAGCCAGAAGCCACTTTAAAGGTCAGTGCGCTTAAGATAACTGAAGTATAGTCTGAATGTTTCCAATGCTGAGCAAGAGTGTGATAGAAGTATTAGTACCTGAGCATCCCCTCCTCAGTTATTACAGCTGCAGCCATAGGATAGGCTTGGGTAGACAGTGCCATGCGCTAAATGAGACCACCCAGCATATAATTATGGACAATACCCTGATTGGCTGCAGTTCTCCTGGTTCTAAGCACTATTTGGAGAGATCAGAGACTGAACCAGGAACTTTTTGCTAATTCCATGCCAATTACATACTTTTCCATTGAGCTACCCTGGCTCCCCAACCACAGAGATTGCACAGCTGAGTCAGTTCCTGCCTTGATCATATTCAGCAAGACCAGCATTATCTGTCGTATCCATTATAAGTCAACTGTGTGCTACCAGGTTATACAAATCTCAGGCAGAGGACAAGAAAATAGATATAGTTACATTTATCTGGACTATTATACAAGGAGGAGGTTCTAACTTTCAGTAGTCCAACTTCTATCCTCTGAGAAATAGGAAGGCACTTCAGTGACACAAGCACTTCTCCAACTGTGTCCTGTGAAAAGATGTGGGTGTCACATGGATATACTTTTGCAGGCAAAATGGCAGCATACATAGAAGGATCCCCCACCCTGAACATGAGTCTGGGTTCTCACCTGGATGACAAGAGGCCAACCAGATCTGTCAGACCAGTGGCATTGGAGGCACTGGTATTAGAAGCCAACCCAGCCCACTGGGACTGCAGCTCTTGATCCAGGGCCTTGCACCCCTGAGGAACCAACCCCTTCCATGCCAGGATTTGCATTCCCATGTAGAACCACCAGTGCTGGCAATATGCATGGAATGAATTGTCAGAAAGGACACATGGGGCCCCATGGCAAAGGCCTGCCCCTTTAAGGACTTCTGTTCCTCTAAAAAGGAGTGGAGCCTGGAAGGAATGACCTAGCCTGGAAGGCATGATGAAAGCCTTCAGCCAACACTTAACTGCTCTGGGGTCAATTGCTCACTTGGAGCCTGCTTTGCCCCATAGGGTCCGTTGGGCTCCCTCCTTGTCAGTATCAGGCCAGAATATTATTTTTAGCCAGAGCAGGCTGTAGTGCATGCAGAAGGTCATTCCCATAGGGTTACGCAAGGGCTGTTTAACCTTTCCATGAACCCCATATGGGTTCGGATGACACAACAAGCCATGATTTGAATATTCAAGAAGTTCCCGGTCATGCCAGCGCAAGTCACAGCTCAATATGGCTTAAACAAGTCACATTGGCCACTGTGATTATGCAAGCCAGTGTGGGATAGCGGAGAGGGTGTTGGACTGCGGACCTGAGAGATCTGTCTTCTGCTCCCCGCTCAGCCATGAGACACACTGAGTGGCTCGGGGCTAGTAATCTCTCTCACCCTAGCCCACCTCACAGAGTTTTGTTGCGAGAATAAAATTGGAGGGGAGAACATGTAAACTGCCTTGGTTTCCTTGCAAGAGGAAAAACGGCCAGGATATACATGAAATATAATAAAATTGACTCTTTGCTGAGGAGCTACATTGGAGCTCTCTGCTTCTCAGGAAATTGCTGGCATTATGAAAGAAAGGAGGTGGAACAGCAGCAGCCAGGGAGCCTTCCTCGAAGAAGGCTGACTCACTGAGGCTCAACCCATGGAAAAAGTCCTCCACACCATCTGCACTCCCCATTTCTTCCAGTCAGCATTCGTGTGTGGGGGCATGATCTCCCACTCCCTTGCAGGAGATTGTGAAGCCCCTTGAATGGCACAACAGAACTCATTTTGCCTGTGCTCAACTCTTCTCCATGTGCAGCCTTCACCTGCTAAGGGTTCAATGTGGCACAGTACACAGTTACATTTAAATCTCCAGTCCAGTCCAGTCCATTCTGACCAGTGTATCAATAGTGCACTGTTTATGTAAAGTACCGCCCAGACTCTTCTGCCCTGCACCGCTCTTCTCTTGGCCAAAGAACCCCTGACACAGACTCATATTAACAGTTCTATCAAGGAGCAGCCTGCAACCCCTTTAATACAACTCATGCTTCCAGCATGAGTGTGGCAGCTGAATTTGTTAGAATCACAAAGCACCCATCGGAGGGTGAATCATAGTTCTGGATGTGTGTGTTACTTTAAAAAATTGTTGCAAGCATCCAGCCATTCTTTTTCTTCACACAGAATCCCGGTGCTGCTTGGATTTGCCTGAATGCAAGAGGATATCCGACATCCTCTTGGCACAAATGACTTACACTTGTACCAGTTGGGGTGATGTAAGCAAGTGCTGCCAGCAGCCTTCCCCGGGCTGGTACGACTCATTCATATGTTACTGGAGCCATGCGGGTGCCCCTTCCCTGTTACTACCCTGTCAACTGCTGGATGGTGCAATCATGTGGATTTGCTGGGTCATGTGGCTTACCACACATGACAGCGTCAGCTTCCCATGTCACGGGAGGGGGGTGGGGGAGTAATAGCACATGTGACCTTGGCAACTCCACCTGCTTCTGCCATTTAAACCTTTAGACACAGAGGAGTTGCAGCACTTGAGACTGAGAAAAGAGCACAAGCCACCAAGTGGACCAAGGGGCAATATAGCGGAACAGATACAATGAATGTTTCCAACAGGGAAGGAAACTCTGAAGTTGTGAAAGCAGCAAGGACAAGCCTAGATTCTAAGAAATAGTGCAATTGAAAATATTGCCGTTCATCCATTGCAGGCAAATCATGCTCAGCATGCAAATCTGAACATGATAAACCCTTATCAGCAGCACGTGCTAATTGATCCAAGGTGAAAATCAACCTGTCTTTCAAGTCTGTCCCAAAAACATTTTCTTGCCCATTTTTAAATCCAGATTACCACACACAGTCAATTTAGCATAAAAATGGATCCAAATGTAACTGAGGTTGCATATGCAACACATCTCTAATTGCCATAGGTGTGAGAGGATCCCTATCCATTTGAATGTACTAAAAGCCTAATGCCAACACTCTGCACAGATGATGCAGACAGGAAAATTCTAAATCTCACCAGGATGGAAAACCCAATCTAAGTGGAGAAGACTTTTGTAGCATTGGCCTGATGATAGAAAGCAAGATTCAGAGAGCCAAATGCAATGTCTTTAAATGAACAGGGATATTAATGGCTGAGAGGGATGTACACAGACAAACTGTAAAATAGAACATCGTGTTTCTGAACATATATGCCAGGTACAGATAAGAGGAATCCTACATGCAACACAAATAATCTGAGGGATAATAGTCCTCTCAAGTGTATTCACCTTACCCCATGAACTCAGCTTTAAAGATGCCCATCTACGAGATGTCATTAATACATGCATTCAAACTTACTTCGTTCATTTGAGATAAGTGAGAAGAAATTTTCCAAAATAAGTAACAAAATCTGGACATCATCAAAATTGCCAGTTAGCTAATACACTATATGGAGTATCTCCATTCAGCATCCTTTCAGATTTTGACCAGTTAACTGATTAACCCAAGAGTTTTGTTCAAATATGGAACTACTAGAGTTTCAAGATAAAAAATAAAAATCATCAGCATAAAGAATAATATTGCATTCTAAGCAATCAAGCACCAAGCCATGAATACTCCTATTCAGTCATGCCAGGGGTTCCAAACCTAAATCAAACATCAGTGGCGAAAGTGATAATCCCAGTCTGGTACCCATTAAAAGGGAAAAAAGCCAAGAAGGTAACACTGGCTATAGCTCTACTGTATGCTGTGCAAGCCAGAATAAAATGTTGAAATTTTTGGTTTACATTTATGGGCGAGGTGTACATCATGTCACTATGTACTAGCTAATAAAAAATATTCATGCTTTTGCTATTTAAGACATTGTGTCAAAATCTCAGTGAGAAGTCCATTTTTCCAGAATGCTACTTCTATACTGGTTAAGGCAAATTCTACCTCAAATATTAAGGTGAAAAAATATTAGTGTAATTACATTGCATTTGTAGCCTGTCTTTCTTACTCTAGAGTTGAACCCAAGGGGGCTTACGTAGTCCTCTACTCCATGTTATCCTCGCAACAGCAACCCTGCGAAGTGGGTTCAGATGAGAGGCAGTGACTGGGTGAAAGCCATCCAGTCAGCTTCATGGCCGAGTGGGCTCTCCGGGATCTCCAGTCCAGCCCTCTCAGCACCACACCACCCTGGCTCTTGACTTGTATCCAGTTTACATTTAATTCTAATTCAGTTTGAATTGAAAGTTATGGAGCTCCTGATAAAGTTGTTAGGAGGAGTTGGGCAAATGGTAAACTGGGTTAAAGGATATTTATTTATTTATTTATTTATTTATCGATTTATATCCTGCCTTTTTCCTACAAAGGGCTCAAGGCAGCTTACATCATTCTCCTCCTCCATCTTATCCCCACAACAACAACCCTGTGAGGTAGGTTGGGCTGAGAGCCTGTGACTGGCCCAAAGTCACCCAGTTGGCTCCATGGCTGAGCGGGGACTAGAACCCAGATCGTCTGAGTCCCAGTCCCATGTTCTTAACCACTACACCACACTGGCTCTCAACTTCTTTCAACTTCTTATTTATAGAAATGCATTGTCTTTTTTTTTTTAAGTCTTGTTGGAGGCATACTCTATATCCGCACCACCCCCCCCCCCCCGGTAAAATCCTTGAGTAACCCAGCAGAAATCTGATTTTTAAACAATTCATCATTAGGAAGAGAAACACTAAAGTGCCAGAAACAAATCTGAAAATTGCAACTCCACGCAGACAGGGTGATGGTTTGAGACCACCGGTGTATCTTGCAAATATTATTTGATGTAGCAAAAATGTAAGAGTCAAGAAATAATCTTATCTAAAGCAGTTATGATAGATAGATGAAATGAAGGTGTAGTATCTTACCAGGATGCGCAATTCTTCAAATATGACAAATTCAGTCCTATAGGCCTGAATTGTAAATCTTGCCACCATTTGCCTCTTTGGGAGCAACCCCATTCCTATCCAGTAAAGAATCTAAAATTGCTTATAAGTCCCTGTTCACAATCAAATAGTGATATCAGCCAATTCATGAAAGATAACTGGAGAAACTTTATTAGGCTCATGCACATTAATCATGGCAATTTCCCAAACAGAATCAAAAAGCAGCCATCAAGATCAATAATCATCTGTGAAAAGAAGAGTCACTTATGAATCCTTTTATACCTTGTCAAAGTATCTGTTATACATACCTCCCCTACTCAATATCTGTTCAACAAATGCTCATCTGCAGCAAATAGCTTTCTTTTTAGTTTTTTAAGCCACATCAGTGATATGCTCTTTTACTTTAGAAGCATCTGTTCTGCTTATTTAACCCTAATCTATTTACATTCCATGAAATCAAATTAAAAGTAGAAAAAGATAGGAGAAAAAAATCACTCACCCCTTCATGCACACAGATCTTAATGATTTAACAGAAGTTATTTACTTTTAAATAACAGAACTCATGAATTATATATGAAATATGTTTCAGTCCAAAAACTTCTCTAAAATAAAACTAATCTTTATTATACTAAACTGTACAGAACCCCTAAGAAAAAATAAAAAACTGAAAATAAAAAACAAAATTAGTAATCAAATATTCCACATAGTGCCTGCCTCCTCTGTACCAGACAGCACCCCCCAAATATAATGAAAATGGTTTTAAAAACAACCCCCCAAAAGGATGTTTTGCCTTCTAGCAAAGGTAAAATAAACTCTATCACCAGTTCCTACTCAGATATTAATTAGATATACTAAAAAGAACAAAAGGATAAAAATGTGGGCATTTTAGAAGGTGCTTTAATCTGTTTCTAAGCCTAAATTACATTTATTCAGTGCATATAACTATATTAAGTGAATATAAGAAATATATGAAAGCGTATGAAATATAAAAGGGAAAAGGAAGTGGTAGGAGAGAGAGAGAGAGAGACTCTGGAATGAAGTAAAAAAAAAAAAAACCCCAAATGCTCAGAATGCCAAGGACTGCCTACATCAAGGCCAAATTCAACTTCTGAAGTAACAACAGCGGACACAGATACAGTCGCTGGTGAGAAAATACTTGGGGAGACTGAGATTTCTTCAGTTGCTCTTGATAAGTAGCACAAGAAATTATAGTAATGCAAACCAAACTACCTCGCCAAGATTGTCACCTTAAGCAAACTGTTGTATGTGCTCTGAAACCTCCATGGCATAATCTGGAACAAGAATATACTTAAATGCTGAGTGTGACCCAAAGGCTACAAAAATGTGAATTAGGTCTTCATAAAGGTGAAAAACCTTTGTATTAATAATCTAGATCTGCAACATTCTTAAGACAGGAATTCGAGAGCCCTTCCAAAATGACATAGAGTATCCATTATTACCTTCGTCGTCTTCTTAAGTGCCTCACAGAATTCCAGGTGTTCATAAGTGTTTAGTGCGTTCAAAGCTATCCTCACTTCTCCCAGAGGTACATGCCGGGAATATTTGTCAAAGAGTTTAACCTATGGAATCATCATCATCATCATCATCATCACCACCACCACCATCGTAGCTTATCTTAAATGCACAGTCTTTAACACACATTTATCTCAATAATCTTTACAATAATTCTAAGGCCGGCCAGTGCTACCATCCCTATAATGGAGAAGTAGTGCCTTGCTTAATGTCACCCACTGAACCACCCACTAAGAGTAGAATTAATTGGCAGATTAAGGTGCAGTCCTATGACTTGCACCTTCATGAGATGGAAGCCTCCCAACTTGTAGGCTTCTGCGTATCCTTGCTGATTTCCTTGCTGATCATCACAGGCTTTGTTGCTGATCTAACCATGGTGCCTCAGCAGGGAAGGAAAGAAGTCTGGCAGAGGCTCAGCACAGCTTTGCAGCATAGCCTCTCCAGTCTCTTCACCTCCCCGCCTACCTCTCCAAGGTCACTTTTCTGATCTCAGAGGACAGCTGGTGTGATAATTTCCACATCAACTATAAGGAGGCAGAAGAGTGGAGCTGAATCGCCAACACTGAGTGACCTCAGAGGGTGGCAGATCCCGTATGTTCTGGGCCCTCAGACAGGGTCTAGGGACCACAGAATTGCCCTTCCTTGATTGTCTTGCTAGATTGGTATACCATCCAGTAAATAAATGCCATAAGGGTGGCTTACACTCATAACACCAAATTACAACAAAACAAAAGAAAAAGTGCAATGATAAATGTGCCAATGTAGCACAATTTTAAACATTAGCACATTAAAAAAACACTCAGGAGCCAGGAGTAAAATTAATAACTAGAGCAGTCCCCCATATAATGCATTAGAGAAGTCCAAATGTGATGTACAAGAGGCATCAGGCATGTCTCAGAAGAGTCAGAGTGGATGAATGAGCCTCAGGTGTGCAAAGGTACTCCTGGCCGCTGCAGAGACCTGGGCCTCCACAATGCTAAATCCAGGAGTACAGCCAAACTGCAAACCCGAAGTGATCTTGAAGTGGAGTGTTACCTTTGTTTAGCACAAGTTGAATCCTTCATTCATTCATCTCATCAACAACCAGTTCCATTAAAAAAGAAAGAAAGGGCTTTATGTGTAGCCAGAACATCACAGAAGCAGAAATTCTCCAAGATGCTACTGATATCTGTAGATGCTAGTAACCAAAATTGAATGCGGCAAGTTCAGAGTTATTCATGTGTGTATATTAACCAAAAGTTGATCAACTGGAAAAAAGTGATCAACGGGGGGAACAATACCCAGAGAAAAGAGGTAGCTTGTGCTGGCATGAAATTTGCAAAGTATGCTGCAAGCAAAACGTCACACCAAATAAGGTAAGTGCTTACACAGCACTGACATTCCCACACCTTTTCAACAAAAGCGGCCTGTAATTGCCCAGATCTCCACAAGATGGAGTCATTGCTCCATAAGCAGCTGAAAAAATCAGACTCCTAGGTGAATCTGTGATAGATAAAATTTCTTGATGGTATCCTAATAATGCATGTGGCAAACTCTGCCAGGAGCATTATTAAAACACTATCTTGTAATTACAGTTAGCAACTGTATTTACTTTGGAAGAATTCTGTTTCCTTTTTCTACCTCACCTCAGACCTACACCTGAACAAAGCAGTGCTTCTTTAAGATACTCTGCCTTACTTTGACAGCCATGGATTTAGATGTACCTCAGACATGAAATACCAAGAAAATGCAGCTTGGGAGTCTAGATCTTGTATGGCTAAGAATGCTGTAGTGATCTGAGCGAAAGAAGGTGGCTAGTCATGGATGAGTGAGTGAGTGAGTGAGTGAGTGAGTGAGTGAGTG